AAAAAAAAAAAAAAAAAAAAAAAATTATTTTTTTTAATTAATGAAACAATATAAGTTTTATAATTATGCTTATTATTCCCTTAGATATTAAAAACATAATAATTAAATATAAATATTATATTTAATGAATATCTCTTACTCGTGATATTTATATTTAATGAATATCTCTTACTCGTGCATCACGCGAATTCGTACGAGTTAGACATGACAAAATAACTATTATTCATACTCCCGTAATACCATAAAATGTGATTATATTGCGTTTTTGCATTCGCTTTCCTATAAAATCAAGGTACAGGTTTCATTCATAGGCCATATGATGATTTAAATTCTTTTTTTTTTTTCCAGTTTCGTTTAGAAAAAATACTCCACCAATACAACCAAAGTGATAAATAAAAAAAAAAACATGAGATGGTACTTTTTTGATAAAATATATTATTATTTATATTTAAAAGGACACTCACTTACACCCTATTAAGCAACTCGTGCGATGCAAAGATGGGTTTGTACCGTAAAACTTTTTTAAAAACTTTATTTTAACAATATATTAGTCGGTTGACTCGATTATATGAATGTAAATAATTTGTAACACGTATATTTATGTGTCTATACAAAAAAATAATAATAATTTTACTTATTTTTTGTCATAATAATACTCATATATTATTTTATTCTAAAATAGATTGTCATTATTATTATTTATAACACTTATAAAAGTAGTATTTTTTTTATATATATAATAATAAATATTAAATGTACATTGAATTTTATTTGTTGATGTAATTAATTTAAAAATATATAAATAAAATAAGATAAATATTGTGCCATATATGCATTCTATTTAATTATTTAAAATTTATCCTATCACATAATAATTAAAATAAAATTATATATTTATATATGTATGTGTGTGTGTGTGTTTGTAAATTATATATATATATATATATATATATATATATATATATATATATATACATATATATTCATAAAGACCCCCTGGGATATTTTTAAAATTAAGATAAGCTAGATGGAAATGTATGTGTGTGTGTGTGTGTCTGAAATGTGATTATATGGAAGTTAAGATAATGTGGAATGTATCTAGATAAATTTGTGTGTGATATTTTTCTGTAAATGTATGAATTTAAATTTTGTTCAAAAATTTTCAAACATTTAGACGGGATATTTTCAAAATTTTCAAAGATGATTACTATGTTCAGTAAATATTTAGGCGGGAATTCTACTTATTTTTTAGTTACTCTTTTAGAGTTTTTCGGGTTGTCTCTTTATATTATAATTGATTTAATTATATTTTTTTTAATAATATCAATTTATCACTTTATATTTAAGTTAGTTTGAATAATTTTATAAGATAACTACTTTATTCTTGGCTTCACTTGTGTTAGTGGCCTATGACAAAAAATGTCACTGAAATACAACCCACCTGGGCAAGATTTTAATAATTTTTTGACTAATCGGGTTGACTAGTCAACCCTTATAGTGGTGATTATTTTTCAATAGTGCACATTACTTGATATAAAACCAAAAAATAATTGTACAGTCATATATAGTTTGTTAATAAAAACACATATTAACAAGGGCGGATCTAATAATATTATAATTCACCTCAAATATATTTGGAATAAAAATAGCTAATTTCAAAAATATTTTCACATGCACTTCCTTGTCACGACTATTTATAAAAATATTTCTCCATAACTGGATATAAAAATAAATTATAATGTATAAAAACGCTTTATCTAATATATCAAACTTTTAAGAGCACTACAAGTTATCGGTCACACACATATATAAATATGTTAATAGTCTTTTAAGAAAACATTTAATTAAATTAACTACAAGTTTATATTTTTAATATTTATATCAAATCTAATAAAAAAGGGACTAAATTTACTTTCAGCAAAATAAGCTGTTTTTTTTTTTTTTTTCTCATTATCCTTTTTTTTTCTTCTTTATGTTTCCATTGTTTTTTAATTATTAATTTAACATGCATTAAACTATTTTTTTAGTAAGGTATATAAGATGATATTTTTTTTTCAGTGTGGGTTTAGGCAGACGTTGGGCCTTATAAGACTCTGCCCTAGACATGGCCATTTGCCGGGCCGGGTCGAAACCCGGCCCGGCCCACCGGGTCGACGTGTTGGCTTATGCTGAACCGGGCCCGGCCCGGGGGTAACTAAGGGCCGGTTCGAAAACCCGGCCCTAACCCGCCGGGTCGAAAACCCGGCGGGTTGAGCCGGGTTCGGACCCGCGAACCCGGATGTGCGAAAACCGGATGTGCGAAAACCCGCGAACCCGGCCCGAAACCCGGCCCGGACCGGCGGGTTTTTTTCGGAAATAACAGGCCCGGGACCGGCCCTCCACATGGCCGGTTCCGGTTAAAAAACCGGATCTAACGGGCCGGGTCTGGGCCGGGTCCGGGCCGGTCCGGGCCGGTCCGGGCCGGTTCGCGGGTTCGGTTCGACCCGTGGTCATGTCTACTCTGCCCCTGCATATTAACTCTATAATTTTTTTTTATTTATAAAATATTTATATTATCTTTTTTTTTTTTGTACAGGAACCTTTCGGTTTCCGGATCCACAGGGAAACCGACTAATTCGGAATCGAGCCGGGTAGGACCACAAGAGGCGGGTATTTATATTGTCTTTTAAAATATCATATTCACGTATGAAGTTTTGTACAATCAATCACTGTACGTAACACCAGAATTGACATAATACAGCTTCTAATTAGAACATGTGTGAATTTCACATTAAAAACATGAAAATTTGGGTTGGTTGGGTGGGTGACAAAGACAAAGAAATGTACCTAAAACTCGGGCATCTATATATTTAGACCAAGGCAGAGGATAGATAAGTAACTCAATACAACACACAAACATTAATTGAAGACTATAGTGACCAACAAAAATAATGGAGGTCAGCCTAGCCATAAAGCCGAAAGTTCACCTAATATTGGTCCACGGCGCGTGCCACGGCGCGTGGTGTTGGTACAAGGTGAAGCCGCTCCTCGAGGCCGCCGGCCACCGCGCCACCGCCCTCGATCTGGCAGCCTCCGGCATCGACCCGAGGAAGCTCCACGAGCTGAGGGGCGTCGCCAACTACACGAGGCCACTTTTGGAGCTATTGGCAGAGGTCCCAGAAAAAGTGGTGCTCGTGGGCCATAGCCTCGGAGGAATCAACTTGGGGCTCGCGATGGAGATGTACCCGAGAAAGATTGCGGCGGCCGTTTTTCTTACTGCGTTCATGCCGGATTACGTGCACCGACCGTCGTATGTTTTGGAACAGGTAAACTTACGATTTACTGGTTTTGTTTGGTTATCAGCTGTTTTCACGAATTAAAAAAAAAAAAAAAAAAGGAAAGCTATACTTGTTTGGTTAGATAGATTTTTGGTTTACTAGATTGGGTGAGAGGATGTTAATTGAAACTCTCTCACATTAATGGAGTGTTTTGACTAAGGGAAAAGGGATTCATTTTTTATTTTTTATTTTCTAGTAATTTAGTTATCTTTAGAATGCGCACAAACAAGCATCCAAATTCTTTTAGCAGTGCACAAAATATGGACTTTTTGTAGAATCAAGGGAGTTAGTTACTTAAGTTTATTTGTAATGTTTGGGATTCAAATAAATAAACAAATAAATAAGTAGAAACATTAAGGTTGATTAATTGTTGTACAAATGATTATTGACTTTTAGGGGGAAAAATGACTCTGATCAATTAAATGATATTTTGTTGTTCTAATTTACACAATATAGTTATTCCAATTTTTTTAGTAATATCATTTGGAACATAAAAAAAAAAAAAAAAAAAAAAGTTCAAAGAAATAATTATTAATATAAGTAACTTACCAACAACTAATATCAAACATTTAATTTAACCTGACACTCTTTACCTAACATTCTTTCACAAACCATTTGTCTGTGACATTTTGGATAATACATCGTTTTCATTATCATGTTTGATTGATGAAGAAAGCAAAGCCTCGGCAGTGATTCGATTTTTCTTCTTGTCTCAATTTCATGTTATACATTATATATCGCAAGTGGGTTTGCACGTGTTATTTGTCATGTATAGGAGTGATCAAAATCGAGCCGAAATCGAAAAACCGTACAGAACCGAGTTCTTCGGTGCGGTTCGGTGCATTTTTTAAGAGATCGGTTATCGGTGCGGTTTGGGTTTTGGAAACCGCAAATATTTTGGTGCGGTCGGTTTGTCCGAAGAGTGTGGTTTTAACCGAACCGCGAATGCCATAAAATGCACTTTTTTGTTTTTTTTAATAAAATATCACCTTAATTTTTATATTTTTACTTACATTACATTAATTGGTGGTTATTTTTTTTTTCAGTTAAACGAAAATCTGCACCGAACCGATTCAAAATTTTCGGTTCAATTGGGTTCGGGTTTTTCTTCTATTGAGGTGCGGTTCGGTGAAGAAATTTTAAGGATTCGATTTTTGATTTTTTTCGATGCGGTGCGATTTTTTACCGTACCGCACTGATACTCACTCTTAGTCATGTTCTCTCGTTTTGTCAAAATTTATCATAAAGTTATGAAGTTGGGTGAATGTCGATTTATCATAAATTTGAATTGTGGAATATCTAAATCAGAATATTTACTTTTAATTTATGTCAAACTTGAATTGTGGAATATCTCTATCAAAATTTTTACTTTTTAATTTATGTCAAACGTGGGCAAAACAAGTGCGGTCCCACACAGATTAAGCGCATCATAAAAAGATTAGCCTAAATGAAGCTCAAATGAAGTTTCATCTCAAAACCAACTAGTACAACACCCCTGTGCGGGTGCTTGCTAAAAAGTTATCCTTAAATTTTAAAATTAATGAGAAAACTATATTACATTTAGTTTACTTTTTTACAAAAAAAGATGTATTACTATATATTTTAGAATGATATGTGTTACTTATGACATACATGTGTTATATTATATTAGTTTTTTTATAACTTATATCATATAACTACTTGAAATATAAATATATTAGTTGATAAATAATTTTATTTTTCTAATTAATATTAAAAATAATTTTATTATTGTTATAAAGGTAAATATAAAAATTTTCTAATTAATATTTAAAGTAATTTTATTATTGATATAAAGATAAATATAAATAATTTTTTTTATATATACAATATGGATGTTAAATCGAAGCTCATCAGAAGAAGATGTGATATATTACATATGTAAAACTGATAAAAAATACAAAAGTTATTTACTCTTAAAATATATATACAATTCAATAGTTATAATAAAGAAATGATATTAAAATGCAATTTAATATATGTAACATGACCATACATAATCAACATATTTATGGTAGTCCGAACCTAATTATTTTTTCTTTGGAATTAAATTAAAATTTACCAAAGCCTAATAACGAAGCATGTAATTTTGTCATATAGGATTCCGAAACACCAGAAGCAGTCACGTAGGCTCAATGCGTTCTGGATTAATATATAAAGAGGATAAAGAGGATTGGTGGTAGGAGGAGTAGCCACTAAGCTTATATGTTGGACTATTTTTTTTTACACAAGCGATGTGAGACAACTCACAAGTGACATCCAACAATTTAACTTAAAATTGTTGGTGCGTGTAAAGTGTTTGGAGACTTTTGCTCAATATGTATTTTATTTTAATGGCACGCGGCAGAAATTATGGGACAAAATTTTGAAAAGGTATCGTCCAACTAACTAAAAGTCTAAAATGTCATTAGACGATCTTGTTACGGAACCATTCTATTGGGGTTTTTAACCGTTAGATCAATATGTAACCGTCAGGAATAGTTGATCTAACAGTTACAAACCCTATCGAAATTATTCCATAACGGGACCGTAACATCTCCCCTGATTATATTACAAAACGTTCGATAATTATGTCTGGATTTAGTGAGGTCCAATTATTAAATCACAATATCTATTATATATATATATATAATTATTTTTTGATATGTCATATATGTTAATAAATAACATAAAAATAAAAATATAATATTTAATAGTATAGATTTTTTATGTAGATAATATTTAATAGTATAAACATTTCTTTTTTATTCATAAATTGAACTTGAATCCTTTATTTATAGAAAAACTTTAATGTCTTATTCCCCAACACAAGGAGTTTCCTTAATAATCAAGAAGTGAATCCTCCAAAATCACTGTGTAGATATACAAACTTACTTTGATATCTCTTAGGAATGTTTCATAAATCTTCATATGTATTTAACTAAACCGTATATCTTTAAATTGTAATAATCGGGCTAAAGCTCTCTTGGACCGACAGTACTAGAGCTAACGCTCAGGCCGATTAGCTTGGGCTTCTCTCTTAAGTTGATCTTCTTGCTCGGGCTTCCCTTCTTAAACCGAGCTTCTCGGACGTAGCACCACAATAACGTTTTATAAAAGATATGCAAGCAAGTGATACTTCTCCACAAAAAATAACCCCAAGAGAATTATCATAACAGTTGAACTTGATCATCGAAAAGAGTAGGGATTAACTTATGTACTTGGAGTCGGAAATATCACTGCCTGACTTTTTACGTGAATCATCGGGGCTCGAAGAACTCATTGGGTCCTCTCGTCCTCCATACCAAAAAAACTTGGGCATGAACTTCTCGTCCTACAAACAACCTGGGCATGAAAATTCTCTTCGAGCCAACCTCTCTGCGAAAATAACTGAGGCACGGAACTTCTCGTCGAGCCAACCCCTCTGCAAAAATAACCGGGCCGTGGAACTTTTCGTTTAGCCTTTTCGACCTCTGTACTAAGATAAACGGGTTAAAAAATTACTCATCAGGTCCTCCCGACTTCTCATCGCAGAACCATGGAACTCGAAATAACTCATCGTGTCGTCCCGACCCTTTCTCGTAAAACTTTGAAACTCGCAGTGACTTGTCGGGAAACCTCGCGTCGGGCCTTGCCGATCTCTCTAGAAAATAAAAGGATTTCACCGCCAATTTTTCTGCAAAAATATATCTTCTCCTTTTTTTGATTTTTCTGCAAGATCTATCCAATTTTTGCAAGAGATTGATGAATTGTTGTTCCTACTTCTGTCGGAGCTTGGTCAATTTCGTGAAGCAATTTAATACAAATTGTTATGTTTATGTCTCTGGTCATTTTGACCTGATTATTAGGGCATGCAGCAATGCTTAGGGCTGCAAACGAATCGAGCGGCTCACGAGTCACTCGCGAGCGCTCGAGTCAAAGCTCGACTTGAGCTTGAGTTTGACTGAACTCGAGTAGAGCTCAAGCGGTTCGAGCACGAACTCAAGTCGAGCTCTAGCCCATATTTTGCCTTGTCGAGCGACTCGAGATACACGTTAAATTACTAAAATACCCCTTGTTATATATATTAGCATAGGTGGTTAATGGTAATTTCACCTTTCACTTAAAAATTTTCGAGCCGAACTCGAGTCGAGCTCGAGCATTTTGATTTCGAGTCGAGCTTGAGCCTAAAAAATCGAGCTTGACGAGCTCGAGCAGCTAAAAAAAACTCAATCCGACTCGATAAGGTCAATGCTCGACTCGGCTTGGCTCGGCTTGGCTCGGCTCGTTTGCAGCCCTAGCCATGCTATTAGAAAATTAAAGACCACAGTTTGATTTTGTGTATTATTACAGTTCTTACACTATGAATCGCAAACAATATTTATTTTAGTGAGTATCATACTTTCGAATTTGAATATCATATTCCAAGAAACAACATAAATATCATATCATATTCCCAAAAAAAACAATATAAATAAGAATTTGATACTTCATAGCACAAACATGCACTAAAAAAAAAAAAAAAAAAAAAAAAAAAAAAAAAAAAAAAAAAAAAAAAAAAAAAAAAAAAAAAAAAAAAAAAAAAAAAAAAAAAAAAAAACCGGTCCACTCACCTAATAGTTAGCAAATTATACACAATTTTTTCTTTGTTATTTTAGTTTCTTTTATTTTTCAAGTCAATATTTTACCTTGTTATTGTACAGTACAACGAGCGGACTCCAGCTGAAGAGTGGCTAGACACCAAGTTTTTACAGTGTGGAACCTCAGAAGAGCCTCTCACTTCCATGTTTTTCGGCCCTCAGTTTGTTTCTAACAAGCTTTACAATCTTTCTTCACCTGAGGTTCGTTTCTCATAACAAGCTTTACGCTAATTTAGTGTCCTACTAAAAGTGAATAAAACAAAAGAAATATATCATAATTTAGTATGATTGTGTAACAGTTATGCAGTATAAGGACACTTGCAATAATGAAAAAGGTTCAAAAACTAGTAAAAGGACCCAAAATAAGTGATGTTTTTGACTTCTGAGACTTACAGGATGTAACACTGGCAAATATGTTGCTAAGGCCAAGCTCCTTGTTCATTGAAGATTTGTCGAAGAAGAAATATGAATTTACGAAAGAAGGGTATGGATCCGTGAAGAGGGTATTCATAGTTTGTGGACAAGACAAGGCTATTCCCGTAAATTTCCAACGTTGGCAGATTGAAACAATTGGGGTCGACAAAGTAATGGAAATCGAGACTGCTGATCACATGGCCATGCTCTCGCAGCCACACAAACTCTGCCAATGTCTGCTTGAAATTGCAGATAATTATGCATAATTAAGGAGTTGTAATATTTTGTTCTCCCATAAGTTTGTGTGATATATAGACACTGCTACATATATTGTATGTTGGACCTTGGATGATTTCATAAACAAATAAATGAGCTCGCGTTTTAATTTTAAATAAAGTTTTTCATATTCGAAAATTCAAGAATCAAATGTTTGACGAGCTACTACTATACATGATCTGCATTATGCTAATGGGTACATTGAGGAAAAAAGAGGAATTGAATAACCTTTAAGCCGTAAGTCGAGGATGTATAAGTTGAATCGAGAAGTCTCCATCCCTATTGAGTATTGACATCAAATAGAAGTTTCTAAAACTTATTGCTTTAAGCAGAGCTCCTCAAATCTCACCAAACTGCCAAGAACAAAAAGAAAAGGAAAAAAATAAAAAATAAATAAAAAATAAAAAAAACAAAAACAAAAATAATAAGACAAATATGTACACTTCCATACATAAACGACATACTTTGAAAAAACAACATAAACAGAAAAGTATTGTCATTTCTCAAAATGTGTATCTATTTTCGTTCAGAAGCAAGAATTTATTTTAAACAAAAAGTTAATAATCAAGGCAATGGTGATAGTGACTCACCGCCTTAGAAGCGCTTGAGGATTGTATGGAAATAAATTCTTTCGGTTAAGATTGTTGATGGATTTCTTCAGAGAAACCAAACAATCCCTTGCAGCCACAAACGGCAATGTGTTACTCGTAAAGTCCTTTGTGCCATGCGTAGAGTGTAAAACTTTTTGCCTTTTGTGACCTAACCCCAAAAATTCAACAAACGAACTCCATGAATTGCAGAGGACCCTTAGTGACCTGGCACGCAATCATGTTTAAGTCAAAAAAAAAAAAAAAAAAGCAGGAAATTTCTTTGCACGACCGTGGAATTTGCATGTAATAACCTCAAAAGGTACTCTGCAGAGCTGGATCCAGCGTCTTTCGAGATAAGATAGTCCAGAAAAACTTGATGATCATAGTGTATCTGAAGAAAAGTTAAAAAAAAAAAGTAGAAGCCTTTACTAGATGATGAAGACGAGACCGCCATTGCGTATCTGAATAAATATGACCGGCTTCGGGTTTAGTCTATTTATTTCTCGTTATTATTAGTACTCTTTTATTTTATTTCCTTTAGTTATTTAGTAATTATGGTAGGAAAATAAATATCTTGCAGTGGTTGGGCAAGAGTAGGCTTCCTTATTTTTCACTTTCTTATTTTATGCTGTATGGACAATGAAAAAAGGAGATCATTGCTGAATTGAAATTTCTGTTCGTTCATTCTTACGAGAGAGTATCTCATATTCTTCTCAATCGTATTACGCTCTACATCACTAGAGCTGTAACTTAATGAAATTACTTGCTAGAGATATTAATTACCTGAGCAAGAAAAAGATGAAAGATATGTATGGGATTAAACACGTCAGAAACAAGAAAAACCGAGTGATTCTTCACGTCAGCTAAAGGATCGTTTTTAATCGTAACTCTGCAGAAATAGGTGAGTGTCATAAACTAGAAACAGAAATTGTTAAACACTTTCGAAGGATAGCATTCAAGAGACTTTCAGTGACATTTACCGACGCGTTGGATAAAATGGTACTCGAAACAGTTGCAAGAGCATTTGAAACAAGATATCGTCCTACAATTCAGAAAGAATTTGTTGATGAGTATCTAAAAGTGCCAATTTTTTTAAAAAAAAAAAAAAAAAAAAAAA